TCTCCCTCCCTCCCTCCCTACATAATCCTGTCCCCATTCCTATGGGCCTCCTCCTTGTCACGATACAGATGAGACAGATATGGATGTGTGGTCTTCTAAATGTCAATTATTATTAATTATGACTATTAGAATTTAACATAGCATAGAGGTAACAAAGCTAATCACGTCATTATATCTGCATAGAATGCAGTCAAGATGGGGGTTGAAGAGCATGCTCAGTAATTCAGTTCCCCCTAATAATAGTTGGGTGGTATCTCCCTCATTCAGTATAAGTGTATAACAAGATACATAGATCATACATTTGTAAATGTGTTTATAAGTTGCATCTCATAGTATTTTAAGTCAACTAACATAGGGCTCTCCATCCATTTCTGATATGACAAATTCAGCAACAAATGCCAAGTGCCTAAACCTAACTTTGTGGATAGGCAGGAACATGGATTGACTTTCTCCACCCTTATATTTAAAATTTCAATTACAGATTTATTTAAAAAAAAGTTTTGGCAGTTCCAAAAAAAGGATGGCAGTTTCTACCTAATACAATCAGAACAGGAAAAAGGAGAGAACTGTTGCCCAGCAGAGAGCCCTCTTCTGTGTGGAAAAAAATCCCTGACTGCTGGCATTTACATCCTAATTATAAATTACATTTATATTCCCAGTTGCACATAGAACAAAAGAATAGTCATGAGTCATGCACGCACTCTTGCTTTTCATTTTTATACTTGAAATGGTGCTAAAGGGACCGAATAACTAAAACAAGCAGGTTAAACCAACAAGTTCAAACATACTTTCACATAACAAAATATGCCATATACTGTGTCAAAAGTGCATAAACTATGAACAGAATCCAGATATATATTCCTATGCTTAGTAGACCAACCAACATAGAGTATTTCCATTTTTAAATGCACTGTGTAGCTCCACAAACAAAAGCAGTAGTACCTTATTTTCCAGGCAATCAGGCAGTAGCTTGATTAGATGAGAAGAATATTCCTCTTTTTCTTCTGTCTGATCTGTGAGTTTTGCTGCTGGCCAGAAATGCATGTGTGAGTACTATGAGCACATGTGGTCTCAGACCCAGCACACCTGCATTGACATAGCTGTATGAGGAACTGGGGCCAGCAGCAACATCTATAGTCATGTGTGAAAGTAGGTGGGCAATAGAACTGGGATAGAGGGATGATGTCATGGATTCAGTCTGAAGAAGGAACATAGCACTGAGAACAACCTAACTTTATTGCAATGATCGTTGGGTGCCTGCTTTACAAGGAAGAGGGACTCCAAACAATGAAAAAGCAAATATTTTTTATAGAAGTTGAGGGCTACAAGGCAGGAAATCCTAGGAATCTGATTTGCTGACCAGTTTGGGGAAGCTAAGCAAGGTCCTGTCAGTGTATCTAGGGTAGGTTCTACTGTTAGGCAAAATGGGCCTTTCAGGAGAACAGCAGAGTTGAGGAAGTTAATTAAAGGAGATGGAATGTTGAGGTCATCAGCTGATAGAGGATGGAACATTAGGGTTGCAATTTCCTTATAAGAACTACCCTTGGGCTGTACTATGAGCTGGTGAGGAGGCTTCTATTCTTGGGTGTAGATGGGATTGCAGAAGGATTATGTCTGAGAGCAGGGAGGGTCAATTTGGGTCTAATAGGATTAGGCAAAGAGATGAACTGGATTTGACCCTATCATGTCTAAAAGAAGGGAGGAAAAGAGGGTGTGGCCTCCATTTTGTTCATTAGATTTATTTTTTCCACTACAGTGGTGTATTAATCCCACTGCATCTCAGATGATTCAAGGATTAGATAAACTAATGTGGAACCTCTTCTGCTAGATTATCACTCAGTGATTGCTCAAGAACTGAAAGAGGCAGCCAGGTGAGTCATTTGGAATCTCCTCCAGTGTGCATCTCTTCAATGACACGAGCCAGGGATTTCCCAGTATGACTTATTACAGTGAGCAACAAATTTTGCTGGATCATCCAAATTGAGATTTGCATGCTTGGGCCCATCAATACGAATCCCATGCCAGAACTGGAATGCTGACTGCTGCTAGGAGAAGTGTGTTCAATGAATGGCCCAATCCAGGTCTCCTGGCTGCAGCTTAGTCTTCTTTCTTTCACCTGGGAGCTTTATTCACTTGGGATAGACTGTCAGCATGGATGAATGTTCTCTTTACTTTTTCTTTTTCTTTTTTAATATTTTTATTAAAGTTTATATATATAAAAACTAATACAAAACTAAAAAACCTACAAACAAAAAGAAAAAGGGAAAAAAAAGAAAAAAGAGAAAGAAATATAAAAGGTTACTTCCCTCTCCCTCCAAACAAGTATATGTATTAACAGTAACTTAACACCTTCTCTATTATTACTAAAAAAAAAAAAAGCTCTTTATCCCCTTTCTCATCCCTAAATAATAACCAAATTATAAAAAAATTCAATCAATCTAATCAGCAAAAGGATTAAAAGTGCCATTAATAATAAACTATAAATTTTAAGCTTAAACAAATAGGTCAATTTTGCATTTTAGTTTCTAAGTTTTTTCTGAGAAGTGAAATCTAAAAGATCTCTCCCCTTAAACATACAAAAGACCAATAATAATCACATATGTGTTTTAAACTGAACCAAATAAATCACTTTTACAGGTATAAATCATCGTCTTACAGTCCTGGTCAGAAAAAGAAAATTCAGTATTAACAATCCAAAATCAAAGCATGGACAATTTAACCTTGATCTGATAAATACACTTTGGATGCCTTTCTCTTCTTTTTGAAAAGCTCAGTCTTCAGTCTCTTCTCCAAACAAAACCCCAGATAACCATCTCTTATCATTCTCTTCCTATCTAATTATAGGAAAGGTTTCAGAGTTTTGGTATTTCCTTTCACTATGTCCAAAATAGGATAGTTCTCAAAGTCACTCTTCCAGTCCATTACAACTTCTTTCTCCATATCATTCTCATAATCAAGCAATTTTGAATCCACCTTCAAATCCACAGCACCTTTTTCCATATCTTCCATGTCTCTCTTATAATCTGGTATTTCTTTAAAGTCTATTTTAGAATCCTTATTCAAGTCGTCCTGTACTGTTATTTTGTCCAGTAAAATCTTTTCTTCTTCTACAACTTCTGTTAGCCCCAATTTACAAATAGTTCCTGGATACACTGATTCCAAACAGCTAAAAATGCTTTCTTGGAAGAAGGATACTCATCCATTATGTTAAAAAAGATATATTGTTAATGTCCATTCCTTCTGAACTTGAAGGCTCTGCGTTATCTTATGTTTATTTTTAGAAGCCAAACTTTCCCAGGACAGATTTTCTTGCAATTAAATCCAAATTCACTTACTGTATTTTTTTAAACATTTAAAACTATCGTTAAAAAAGCTGTTTCAAATCCATCTAGCCTCTTAATTGTCCCCAATCAACTATTAATTTCCTTTCACTGTTTCCAAATGTTAAGATATTTCTTTTTGATCTTTAAACTTACTTTGGTCTT